GTTACTAACGAGTCTTCTTCGTGACGCTCTAAGGACTCCGAAAAATCAATTTCCATTTAGATTCTTATATTCCTAATGCCTAACAATAACAAAATAATCATTTGTAAATAATCAATTCAATCCAAAAGCTTAAGGTGTTGGGTGAAGCTACATTAATGATTTTATATTTTTCTAACACTCCCCCTCACTTGAGAGCCCATTGGGTTTGAAAGGTGGATGGTGTATTTGGCTCAGCCTACCTGTGCTAAGAAACTTCATAATATTTAATTATGTTTATTAATAGAATGAGGGTAGTGAGGATCGAACTCGTGATCATTTGATAATTGAGTCTCTAATACCATGTAAAGAATTAATTTAACCCAAAAGCTTAAGCTGTTGGATGATGCTACATTAATGGTTTTATATTTCTCTAACAATTACATATTGAGCTGTTAAGTGTTTGTATGAAGCTATGGATGTATCCCTTGGAGGATAGAGTATGTTGATCTAGTAGTGCTCATAGTAGCAATGGTAAAGACCAAGGCACCATTAGAGTTAATTTCTCATGTGCTATATGTAAAAAGGGTGTGTGTAAAGCTATGGTAGTAACAGCTCATAAGATAAAAGATGGGATCCCCACTTTCATGAGAGAAGGGGGAATTTAATGAGGAGGAAAGAGAGTCGTACCACCTAATAACTATGTCTTGTCATTGAGGTAATATATGTTGCCCTACTGTCCGTGCATAGTGGGCAGGAGTGCTGAGTATGTGGTGCCATTTAGAACGTTCTAGATGTGAGCTATAATATTGGGCTCAACTTATTGGACCTAAAAGGGCCGACCAGAACACATATAATTTTCAGGAACTATAAATAAATCTTTCCAAGTATGTTCATCATTATATTCTCAAGCATTCTATTGAGAAAGAGAGATAAGAAGCATGGTTAGACACAAATTGAGGAACTGTTAAATGGAGAATGCAAAGAGATGTATAGATTGTTACGAACCTTGAGGTCACCATCATATCAGTTGCTCATATCAGTTGCTCATATAATCAATGTTAGACTTGTAATATTGTCACCTCCTTTAAGGGCCAACGTTTATAATGACTTTCACTTTATCGACATTGATACTTTGGGAGGTATGGTATCTTAATCCAGCCTATAAGTAGCCCTTTCATCTCTCAATGCAAGTATCAATTGTTATGAACCTTAAGGTTGCCACCCCAAATGTTAGCTCAAAAAATATGAGTGCCCAAAATCTTATAAACTCATTATGAGTTGCTCATACAACCAAACATATAACTCGTAACATAGGTTTAAAAAGTGGAAGAGTCAGTCCGATATTTTGTTAGGTAAGATCAAATTTGTAACCAGTTGATTATCAATACTTTGATATCATATAAAAAGATAATTAAACTTCGAAAGATTAAATTGTTAGGTGAGTATCAAATTAATAATATCGTTTTAAATTTCTGTGACACTGACATGGAATGAAGGATTTAAAGCTATGAGAAAAAAGAACGAGAATGGAGTTAAGCTTCATTTATACTTAAGGATTTGAGTTTAACGCGCAAAGCTTAAAGTGTTTTTCCGATAAACTGAATAGATGAGGGAAACTATTTTTATTAATCCAGAGAATCGAGGGAGATGAGATAATTAGTTTTGCTACATTCCTGAGCATGTATTAAATTTAGGAATTTTTTTTTTAACAATGATTTCAGTAAACGTGACTAAACACTATATATTATTGCAATGTGGTTCAAAATTTATTTTTATAATTATTTAGGACTAAAATGGATACACATTTATTTATTACGGGCTTACGGCTGAATATTCCGTACACTGGGGTAGATACTGGATTTGAATTTGTATGTAAAATAAAATAAGAAACAGACGTCATTTGTACATAAAACAAATGACGTCCTCTTCACATCATGCCGATTGAAATTTTATATATTTTTAAAAAAAGAGTGGGCTCTGGTAATCCGCATCTGCATTGAACTAATAAATTATTAGTGCAACAAAGTTTGCTCAGTCTCAAAATGTACTCAACCTGCCGGCATAAATTAACAGTCCTAACCTAGGCTGGTCTATAGTACTATTTCCAAAGTTATCATAATACATTTTTTAATGAAAAATAATGAAAATATCTATTCCAATTTTCTTTTGTCTATTATTATTGTCTTTTAACTTGTTTCTTTTAAAAGTATCCTTTACTCTCTTAATTGATTAGTAAAACAAAAAAGTGGTGTATAATGATACAGAGCACATAAATCAATTGGTATATATGGATATAGCTGTGTTAAAATTTAATAAAAAAAATTGTATTGTATTTTTGTCATGTTTGACTTGACGAATCAAATTAATCGAATAATAAACAAATCAGTTATGATCAATAAAAACAAGTTACAAGTGTCTTCCTTGGAGAATTTCATAGGTGTCTCCAGCCTCTCAAAGAAAAGTCATAAAGTATTAAAGTTCTTTTTCAAAAGGTGAGATATATTTATCTTATCTCAATGGATTTGATGTATATCATTGGTTTTTATTGATCATAATTATTTTTTAACGTAATTTTTTTTTTTTAAATGTAAATTGTTTTTTCGGTTGTAAAATTTGTGTTTCAGATTACATTTTTTTTTCACCATTGTGGCAGAAGTTTAGGAGTGAAGAGGTCGCAGATCATAGAAATTAAAACCGTCCCACTCTATTATCAACTCTACATAACAAAGTTCAAGCAATCTTGTGGATTGGTATGAATCCAATCAGTTAACACCACGTTTGGTAATAGCTTTTTTTTTTGTAAAAAAATAATTATTTAAAAAAATCCTTAAAAATTGTTAAAAAAATTATTCTATAAAAAAAATTAATCAAAACACGAACTAAAATTGAAAATGATATAGCCTGTAACATGTGAAAGATTGACGTTATTATTATTTGGCCTGTAATAAAATTGGTTTAGTAGGAACTATAGTTCGAAAAGATAATTTGGTGTAAGTGACTTGGGCCTTTTTTTAGTATACAAAAAAGGAGAAAGGTACTTGTCTTTAGGTATAAACTTTCGTAATATGTCATGGGTTAGGCGCGTAGCTTTACGCGCGCGATATTTTTGCTCTATGCTAGGGTTTGCTTGATTTCTGTAAATTTCTTCGTGTTCGTTCTTGGAAATTTCTTCGTGTTCGTTCTTGGTTCTAGTATGGACGTTGAGAAGAGTCTGTTTCGAGAGGTGGTGGAGACTGATGGTGGGAAGGGAGGAAGGGAAAGACTGACGGAGGAGGAGGAGCTGAGCCTCAGATCTGGTAAGAAATCGAAAGGGGGTATGATGGAAGATCTCAGCATGGACGATCAGATGCTGGGGACTGGGGAGGAGGGGATTGCTGCATCTCCCGAGCAAATAGTACATACAGAGAAGAGAAGTGAGATTCCTGCCAGTAACGCACGATGCAAGTTTGTGTCGTATAAAGATAAGTTACTGAAATTGAATGGTGGGGATGGTTATGATAGCAAGGAGGAGGAAAATTGGCTGCTGTTACAGAGGAGGGAGGAGGAAGAGGACGATCTCATGGATGAGGGAACCCAGATCATCTCGGGTGATCCACTCTGTCCTACCTACTTCATCTCTAAGGCTCAACATAAGGAGGATTGTAAGCCATGGCGCAAAGCACTTATCATTAAGTTGCTGGGTAAGAGGATGGCTACGAGGTTCCTGATGGCTAGGATCCAACGTCAGTGGAATCTGGTTAGCTCGTATGAGCTAATTGACTTGGAAAATGGCTATCTATTACTGAGATTCCAAGATAATAATGATTATCAGCATGTTCTGGAGGAGGGTCCTTGGATAGTGAATGATCACTATGTAATTGTGCAGAGATGGAGGCCGTTTTTTGATCCATTTGACGATACTGTGAAGAGGATGGCAGTATGGATCCGAATTCCTGGACTTCCTATTGAATTGTATACAGCGCACCATCTTTGGAAAATTGGGAGTATCTTTGGCAGGACAATTAAAGTGGATAGGAACTCTCTTCGTAAGAGTGACTCGGGTCTTGAAGTCATTACTGAAAGGGCAAGGTTTGCTAGGATTTGCGTAGAGGTAGATCTGAGGAAGAGTTTTCTTTCAAAATTCAATATAGGAGAGAAAATTTACCATGTAGGCTATGAAGGTCTCCATTTGATTTGCTTCAATTGTGGAGTGTATGGTCATAGAAAGGATCAATGTACTACTAGCAGCCAACATGAGGTCCAGAAGGAGATGGGAGGAGAGGAGCCTACTACTCAGAATAACAGTGTTAAGGAACAAGTCAAAGTTGAGGAGAATCAGAGTGAGGCGTTTGGTGATTGGATGGTTGTCCAAAGGCAAAATAGAGAGAGAAGATTGAAAGTTGTTCCCGCTAAGGATATAAGTGGTGGTAAGGGGGAAGTTAATCCAGAAGGAAACAAGGTGTATATGCCAAAAGAAGTTATATGCAAGGAAGTAGATAGGGCTGCTGACTCTCATATGGAGACTGATCAGAATCTGATTCCTGACAAGATACAAGATACAGAGGAGGTTGCTGGTCAAGCTAATAAAGGGGAGAAATCTCAGCATTCTTTTGGAGATGTGGCAGGTTCTAGCAACCCTGATAACCAATGTAGTGTGAGAGGGTTAGCTAATAAAGGCCGAAATTTTCCATCTAAAGATAGGAAGGATAACAGTAAGGGTCCTTCTAGTCCCTCCAAAAAAAAATCTGGGACTGAGAATAGATCCCCCAATACTGTGTTGGTAGGCCCTTACAAGTCAGCTAGTAGATTGAAGGGTAGTGGGAATGATGTTTCTGGGGTGAAAGAAAAGGCTGCTGGATTGGTTCAGCAAGAAGGCAAAAAGGGGAAGGGCTCCAGGATTAGTGATATCCCTGCATCTCCTAACCCGAATCATGCTGAGCAAGCTGCTGAGGTATCTTCTCCCTGTTTGGGAGCTTCTATTTCCTAATTTCCAATTCAGGTTCCTAGGATTTTTTATCCTTGTTTGTAGTATTTTTTACTCTATGTCTGTTTGCATCTGGAACTGTAGGGGGGTTGGAAAAAAGGGTTTTTCCACCCTCATTAGAGATTTAAAATTCCGTTTTAGGATTGATGTTTTTGTTCTGCTAGAAACCGGAATTAGTGGTTTGAAGGGTGATAGGATTATCAAACAGTTTGGCTTTCCTAGCTTCTTTAAACAAGAGGCTATTGGGTTCTCTGGTGGCATCTGGATCCTTTGGGATGATAAGGTGGTGAAGATTGAGATTATCTTAGCTCATCATCAATTCATTCATACTCAGGTTCAGCACCTGGCATCTGGGAAATCTGAGATCATTACCTTTGTGTATAGAAGTCCTAGGAGGCTGGAGAGAAAGAATCTTTGGAATGAGCTGGAAGCTTTTAGTTCTTCCATCCAGGAGGCTTGGCTTTTGATTGGGGATTTTAATTCCATTCTGCATGCTTCAGAGAAGACAGGGGGTAGTGATTTATGTTGGGACAGTATTAGTGATATGCAACAGAGCCTGATTAATTGCAAAATCAGTGATATTGGTTACAAGGGGCCTGAATTTACCTGGAAAAGAGGGAAGCTTCATGAGAGATTGGATAGAGGGTGCTCTAATGAGGAATGGAATGTGCTTTGGCCCAATCGGTTTATATCTCATTTGCCTTTCTTTAATTCTGATCATAGACCTCTCCTCCTGGCTCAAAGTGGGCCTCCTAGGCCTAGAGAGCACTCCAAACCTTTTAAATTCATGGCTGCTTGGTTGACTGATCAGGATTTTGGAAGATTAGTTATGAAGAGTTGGGGCAGCAATGAAGAGTGGGTTCCAGCCAGGAACAATTTTGAGAAGGATGCCACTGTTTGGCACCAGAATGTGTTCAAAAGGAATATCCAGCAGAAAAATAAAATCTATGCTAGATTAAGAGGTCTAGACAGCTATATGAATGGCAGATTTGATCACAGTTTGGAAATTTTGCAGAAGAACCTTTGGAAAGAACTTCAAGCTATTCTAATTAAAGAAGAATTGACCTGGTTCCAGAGGTCTAGAAGTCAGTGGTTGAAATATGGTGATAGGAATACAAGGTTCTTCCACTCTTCTACTGTGGCTAGGAGGAGACACAATAGGATTCTCACTCTCAAAGATGAGAATGGTACCTGGATAGCTGATCCTGATTCCTTGGTCAATATGGCAGTGTCCTATTACAAAGAGTTATTTACAGCTGAGACTCCTGATGATGGTTTTTTCCCCATTCAGGGGATGTTCCCTAGTCTGTCTGAGGGGGGAAAAGAGAAAACTGGCCCTTTGTCCTAACAAGGAGGAGATTAGGAAAACTGTGTTCAAAATGGAAAAGTTCAAAGCTCCTGGTCCGGATGGGCTCCATGCCATTTTTTTCCAGAGTCAATGGGCATCTATAGGTGAATCAGTGTGTAAGATGGTTCAGGATTGCTTCCAGTATCCTGAGAAAGTGAAGGAGATTAATAAGACTCTTATCTGTTTGATCCCGAAGACAGATAGCCCTGAGAGTATGAAAGATTTTAGTCCCATTAGTCTTTGTAATGTAATTTATAAAATCATTACAAAGACTGTGGCTGAGAGGTTGAGAGATTTGATGCCAAAACTGACTTCTCCTAATCAAAGTAGTTTTATAAAGGGTAGACAAAGTGCTGATAATATAATTGTTGCCCAAGAAGTAATCCACTCTATGAGAAAGAGAAGAGGCAGTAAAGGATGGATGATGATAAAGGTGGACCTTGAGAAAGCCTATGATAGGCTGAGTTGGAGCTTTGTGGTGGAGACACTTAGAGATCTTGGATTCCCTGAATCTCTATGTAATCTGATCTCTAGTTGCATTTCTTCTAATTCCTTCAACCTGCTTTGGAATGGGGTGGCTACTGGTCAAATTATCCCAGGGAGAGGAATCAGACAAGGGGATCCCCTATCCCCTTATTTGTTTGTTCTATGTATGGAGAGGTTAGCTCACCTCATCAAGGTGGCTGTGGAAGCTAAAGCATGGAAACCAGTGCTGATTAATAAGAAGGCTCCCCTTATTTCGCATCTTTTCTTTGCGGATGATATCATTTTGTGTGCTGAGGCTGGCTTGGATCAGGCACAAGTGATTAATCAAGTTTTTAAAGTCTTTGCTGAAGCATCAGGACAGAAAGTGAATAAGGAAAAGACTAAGATTTTCTTTTCTAGGAATGTTTGTTTTAATAAAGCTAGAGAAATCAGTAGCTGTTTGGGTTTCAATATCACTTCTGATTTGGGAAAGTACTTGGGAGTTCCTTTGCATCATAGTAGAATTTTCAAGAATTCCTTTCAGCATGTTCTAGATAGAGTGCACAAAAGATTGTCCTCTTGGAACCAGAACTCCCTTTCGATGGCTGGAAGAGCAACTCTTGCTAAGGCAGTTTTGGAAGCTCTCCCTGCTTACACCATGCAGACTGTTGCTATGCCTGTTACTGTTTGTAGGGAAGTGGAGAAGCTCACAAGGAGTTTTTTGTGGGGATCCAATCAGAATGCTAGGAAAACTCATCTGGTCAATTGGAATACTATTTGTCAGCCGAAGGTGCAAGGGGGCTTGGGACTCAGAGATCAAGTCAAAGTTAATAAAGCTTACTCTATGAAGCTGGGGTTTGGTCTCATTAGCAATTCAGAAGACATATGGGTTAGAGTTCTAAAAGCCAAATACAAGGTGGAAGAGGCCTTGATTCCTAAGCTCACTATCTCCAGGGATGTCTCTAATACCTGGAAAGGTATACAACAAGTTTGGGATCAGGTGCAATCTGGTGCCAAGATTCTTCTAGGTGATGGGAGAAATATAGATTTTTGGAGGGATAATTGGGTCCCTAATGTGGGCAGATTACTGGATGCTATTCAATTTGAAGTGCCAGATTATAGTTATAACTGGAAAGTGGTTGATTGTGTTCTGGCAGAGGGGGGTTGGAACAGGACTCTGTTGAATCAGCTGCTGCCAGAGCATATTGTTTCTGCTATAGCTGCTATCTATCCTCCTCAGGCTCATAATGACAGGGATAGGGTTATTTGGAGGCATTCATCTTCAGGTATTTTTACCATTAGCTCAGCTTATTCTACTCTATGTAATAATTCTATAGCTTCTGAGCCTGGAGACTGGAGACTGGTTTGGAGCTGGAAAAGACCACAGAGGATTAAAATCTTCCTATGGCTGTTATATGGTAATAGAATCCTCACTAATGCTGAAAGGGTGAGAAGGCATATGACAGATAATTCTAGATGTCCTAGATGCCAAGGGATACTGGAAGACAGAGAGCATATATTTAGGAGCTGCAACTGGGCTAAGGAAGTCTGGAATCATTGGGTGGATGTTACAGGTACTAGCCAGTTTCAAACAATGGCCTTTGATAACTGGTTGGAATTTAATCTCAAGGCTCAGGCCAGGAACTCGAATTGGCAGTTGAGTTTTGGTATGATCTGTTGGTATATGTGGAAAGAGAGGAATAAACTTATTTTCCAAGGAAGTAGTTTGTCTCCTCATGAATTCTTCAAACAGGTATCTTTGAATATCCTAAATGCTGTTGAGGCTAATGAGATGCTTAGGGATGCAGGTTTAGACCTTGAACCCTTGAAGGAAATTTGGATTAACTGGAGGGCTCCTCCCCATGGCTGGATAAAAGTGAATGTCGATGGCTCTTGTAGGGATAATGGAGCTGATCTAGCTTGTGGTGGTGTTGTTAGAGATGATGCTGGGGTTTGGTTGCAGGGTTTTACCAGGAGACTTAACCATGGAACGGCTTTAATGGCTGAATTATGGGGATTCTTTATTGGGTTGGAATGGATATGGCATAACAATGTTCATAATGCTATTCTGGAAGGAGATTCGCTGGTTGCTATTCATTTGATTAAGGAAGGGTGTGTGAGATCTCATCCTTGTTTTTTCCTTGTTGATAGAATTAATATACTGATGGATACTTACTGGCATGTGAATATCATACATACTTATAGAGAAGGTAATCAAACTGTTGATTGGATGGCGAAGCTCAGAATTGATGATAATTGGGGAACTCATTGGTTCAATGCTCCTCCGATTGGATGTAGGGAACTTGTGTTAGAGGATTGTAAGGGCCTTGATTTGGCCTCTTTAAACTCTTTGTAGTTCTGTTTTTGCTTTCCTTTGTATTCCAAAAAAAAAAAAAGGAGAAGATAATTTGGTGTAAGTCACTTGGGCTGCTCAGGGACATTATTTTTCAACATTTTGTTGTTGATAATCGTGGCCCAAACCCAGGGAACAATAGTAGAACTAAACAAAACAGTATCTGGGAGTAGCTGTAGTATAAAAAAAAAAAAAAAGAGGTTAAGGAATCAGTGAATAACAACCGCTGTTGCATCATATAACAGCAACTCCCAATTATAGTTAAACAATTTGATCTTCATTCCCCTCTTATTTTATGATGGTTATTAAAATAAGCACACATAATTCAAAATATAAATATGAAAATTGAAAGACAAGAATGCAATTGATTTTTTTTTTTTTGGTAATTTAATGCAATTGATTAATTTTAGAAGTTTCTTTTATATAAGGCATTAAATAAGTAATTGTAAATCAAATGAAGTAAGTAAAATTAAATTAAATCTTAACCAGATACGAATTTCTCTATAAATATATTCACGCTATGTACATGTTTTCTTATAATCAAATCAACATCAGATAAATTTTTTTTTTTGTTATACTGATAATAGTATTTTAATATAGCTTCTTCACATCCACTTTTTCAATATTTTGAATGATATTCATATAATCAAAACATATACTTTAGCCGAGTACATATCTTTGCTCCCATTCAGTGTCATTAATTATTATTCCAAAGTTTAAAATTTTTCTTAAAATGATTAAACGTAAAAGCATTATGGGTCAAGTCTAAATTTTGTCAAAATGAAAAACCTTTTGACATTTGGTGAAGCTACGAGATATGAGATTGCAAGTGTGCCCAAAATGTATGGCTTGCAAGAATTAATTCTTCAGTGAGATAGATAAAATTTGGACTCTTTGTTGGGCTTTGCGAAATTTTACTTTGGGAGACATTGAAAGGCCCAAGTCAATAAGAAAATATCACAAAATGCAGTGATGCATTAGTGGCTCAGCTTACGTTTCTGTTATCTTTTTGAATTTAACTTGATTTAACAATTTATTTCCTATGGTAAATGAGTTCTCTAAAGTGTCATTTTATAGGAGAAGAGAGCCAATTTACAAAAAAAGAGAGCCTATAACACCTGACATATTTTAAATGCATTATTAATGATTGAATTGTGGATTAGAGTATTTAATAATTGAAAATCCTGAATTTCGGGTGAAAATACAATCTGTTGAGATATATAGTCCCACATTGGTTGTATGCGCAACTAATGTGGAGTTTATAAGACCTTGGGCACTCCCACCCTTTGAGCTAGCTTTTGGGGTGACGTATCCCAAGGTTCTTTACATTATCAGAGCCTCGCCGCCCCCACTTTCTCTTGTGGCGTTTCTTAGCACAAGTAGGCTGGGCCTGTTGCATTGTCCACTCTTCAAGCCCAATGGGCTCTCGTGTGAGGGGGCGTGTTGAGATATATAGTCCCACATTGGTTGTATGTGCAACTAATGTGGAGTTTATAAGACCTTGGGCGCTCCCACCCTTTGAGCTAGTTTTTGGGGTGGTGTATCCCAAGTTTCACTCGAAGGGCAAAATGATAATTTGACAATTACTGTAACCCTAAAATTGTGAAATGATTTAATTAGACATTATTTGATGAAACTAATGATGGATTTGGATTCAGAATGAAATTTGAAAGTGGATAGGTAATTTTTATGAAAATTGATGAATAATAATTTTTACCGGATGAAATACCGCAGTATATTTTTTCTGAAAAACTCAAAAATGAAATTAATGTTCTAGGCTTGAATATATGTTGAAAGCGGTATTTAGAATCAAGAAAAATTATCAGAGGAATTATTTGAGGAATTTTGATGGTTTTTGGAAAAATACAGTTAGTGTGAGTATAGGGGACGAAAATAGAATTATGAAAAAAATGTCCGGTGATTTAAAATAATGTACTGTGAAATTATTCAAGAATTCAAGAAAAATAATTAGGTAAATTGAATTTAGATATTTTTTAACTTTTTTCAAAAAGTCAAATAAAGTGGCTAGGCTTATTTAATCATGAAATCAACCATTTAAGCTCATATTCTTCCTTCTTCCACGAGCTTGGCCGAACTTACCATTAGAGAGGAGCTTGGATTTGCAACTTTCTTTTACACCAAATCAAGAAAGTTACAACATGAAAAATACTCGAAATCACTT